ATGAATTCGAACATACTACTCGGCTGGCATACTGATTTTATTGTATATAGTATGGATGTATGAGATTTCGGATGCAGCTTTGGTGTAAAACCAACATAAAATGGCTTTTATCTGCACCTGTTGGTTTGGCGTGTCTTTAAAGTACACATGAAATCAAAACTAACCATACTGTTTTTGTTAGCTAGTTTTGTGGTGAATAATTCATCTGTTGATGTCATTAAGAAAAAAAAAAAGGTTTACTCTTGGTAGTACCTAGAATAGCAAAGTCTGTTATAGCAAAGGAGGTTGAGCCTTCTCATTTATGGCTCCTAAACTCTGGAATAGCCTTCCTGAGGCTCAGACACACTCTTGCAGTTCAAAACTAGATTAGAAATCTTTTTCATAAAGCATACATTTAGTGCATCACATAGCGGTAAGACGCATGAATGTGCTCCACATCTCGCTTATATACACTATGAACAGCGGCTACGCTAATTATAGGGTATATGCCGAGCTAGTGCAGTTCCCATGCTGATACACTTCCGGTGACCTGTTATTGTGAACTTTTTACCATTTTATACGGTTCCTTATACAGCATCGATGTTGTAATGTCATTAAAATACATTCAGTTCAATAAACTTTAGCAATTATTTTTAATTGCTCAAGCGTAAAACGAGACAAAAAGCTGTTTACTCACACGCGCCCGTCAGAATCGGCAGGCTAACGCAGAAGCTCCATTGAATATACTGGGGTAAAATAAATGCTCATATTATAAAGATATGGCGGGGGAAATGTAATTTAATGCAGTGCTTCTTGTACAATCTGAGACCCACTTTAAATCGGATATCACTCAGCCAGTGGAGACCGCTGATTTTTAAAGAAAACAGACCTTGAACGCACCGGATTTTGCATTGGCATTCAATTCGCCGGAAGCGCTTAACCCAGGTTACTGGCAAATTAAAAGTCCTATAAGCATGCTTCGGCATATACCCCATTCTCTTTATTCTCTATTTCAGGTTCAGGATCTGAAAAGCTACTCATCGATGAATTTGCTCTTCAGTGTTTGGACTCTCAATAATGACTTCAAACCACACTGAACTGAGCTAAACTGAACTGAACTTAAACACTAAAAACTGAACTACCCTGATCCAGTTACTATGACCATTTATGTGAAGCTGCTTTGACACAATCTACATTGTAAAAGCGCTATACAAATAAAGCTGAATTGAAGTGAATTGAATTTCCACCTGGGGATACTCATCCCTAGGCCCCTAGAGATTATGCAGCGCCACTGATGCGATCCAAGACCTGTGAAGAGATGATCTCAAGGTTTCCACTATCCCGGACCAGACTGTATGCCGAGCAGCTGCTGTGGTGGTCATGGAGGAGTGAAGAGCATAAGACTGATTCCTGTGACGCTCCGGGGACAGATGAGTTTTCACTGACGTCCGGCGTTCTCCAGCCTCCAGCGCTTAGAGCTCTGCACAAGACGTTTGGCCATAGGAGAAATAGTTGTGCCCAACTAAGCCTGGTTTCTCTCAAGGTTTTTTATCCTTCACTTTTGCCAATTAGTGAAGTTTTTTCCTCGCCACTGTCACCACTGTCTTGCATAGTTTGGGACTTGTGGAGCTGCGCATGGATGGATTTGCTCTTCAGTGTTTGGACTATCAGCCGTGGATGATAAGCTGAACTGAACTAAACTGAACCAAACTGAACTTAAACACTGAAAACTGGACTGACACTGTTTCAATTGACTACAATCGTCTATGTGAAGCTGCTTTGACACAACTTAAAGCGCTATAGAATCAAAGATGAACTGAACTGAATTGTAATCATCAAATTTAATTAATTTAATATTGTTAAAAACGAAGACGAGAAAAAGTAATTTATAAAATACCAGTGTACATGTGAACGTGGCTTTAGTATGTTACCATTCTGTGTTAGTTTGGTGGAAGAGAGTTGTGTTGATATCCAGAGGGTTTCCTTCGTGCTGCGCTGGAATATGAGGCTGGACGGGATGTTCGGGCAGCCGTTGAAGTCATCTTTACAGCAGGGCAGGCCCAGGTACAGCGCGTGGTTACTGAAGGTGGTGTTTTCATCACACTGATCAACACACATACACAAGACAATTTTAAAGGTCATTTGAACGTGCAATGCCCTGTATCTTTGTTATTGTCATTAACAAGATTAACAAAGGTCACACTTTTCATTGAGGTTTCATTAGGTTATGTTATCAATCATAGCTCGACATTTACTAATGTGTTACTAAAATCCAACTTCGTGCTTGTTAGCATTAATGTGCCGGAGTTAACTTTATTTTCATGATCTAAAATGAGCAAAGATTACATTAATTAATACAACCTTATTGTATAATGTTACAACTAAAAACAACACAAAATGAACTAAAACACTATAATTTATTTAGTTAGCAGGGCAGTACTTTAGATATTTTAGTTGAAGTAAAAATTAGAAACTCCAGACATTAAACAGACATGTTCACCTTGGTTTTAACTAATACAATCATATAAAAATACATTTCTTCTACATATAAAGTGCACACATTTGTCATTTTAGTTTTCATCTGCTAAATGCATGGATTAAAATGCTGTTGAGTAATTATTACACAAATCCTGAAGTACCAAGAGACAAAGTATATGTGGAACATTCACTACCTGACAAAAGTCTTGTTGCCTATCCTGAATAACTTGAATTGTAGTTGATGATTTAGGGCCCTATCACACACCCGGTGCAATGTGGCGCAAGGCGCGACGCAATAGTTGTTGGCTAGTTTCAGCTTGGTGCAAGAGTTGTTTTGAGGTGTTGCGCCATGCTGTTTAAACAGCAAACGCATTTGCGCTCATATGTGCGCCCATAGGCGTTCTGGTCTAAAAAGGAAAGCATTCTGAGGCACATTGCTGGCGCGTTGCTATTTTGAGAAACTATAAAAGATCTTTCAATAGACCAAAACAAACCCGGTCTAAAGTCCAGTGCAGAGTTGTGCCTTGCTTACTCACTGCTTGATACACACAAGATGTAGAGCAATACGAAAATATCTTTACATATGAAAAAGAATTCAAATATTAAGGATATATATATATATATATATAAAGGATTTAAATATTACAAAACATATTATTTTCTAGCCTACAGAAATATGAAAAACCACTGCTTTCATGCCTTCATCTCGGGAGGCTTTTTCAGTTCATTCATAACAATTTGCTTTTGTATAATGTTATTATTATTAGCAGTATTATTTAATATATCCATATTTATATTTGTTTTATTAAAAACAAGCTTAGATTTGCCCACCTGCAAGTTTTAGACCATATGGGGCACAGCATGTGTATTAGGATATAACTCAGGTTTTTTGAACACACTTCGTTATTATTAATCATTTATTAGTTTGCTGGAAATTAGAACTGAATTTAGAAAAGTTTTGAAACAAATATTTGCGCCTAACAAGCTAAATTAATTATTTATTGGCTAATTGATGCTCAGTTTTTCCACTTACACTTAATTTAAGTAATGTAAATAGCATATGTGCCATGGCGCTGACTCTTAAAGGGAATGGGAGATGAGTCTCTAATTGGTTTATTCTCAAAACACACCTGTAACTCATTAAGAAAATAAACTCAACCCTTTTAGATCATGCGCCACGGCGCAAAGTGGATTGTTCTATCCATATATTAGCAAAAATGGATTCTGACACACCCTGAAAGTGTTTTCTGACTCTGCTTAGGTAAAAGTCTCATCACTGAACAGAAATAATGTCCAGTATAGAATATAAAGTCATGCTGCAGTGGAGAAAGAATGAATATTGTGACTCATCATGAGCTTAGAGGACTGCATCCATACATCTCTGCAATGACTCAAATCACTTATTAATAAAGTTATCTGGAATGGCAAAGAAAGCATTCCTGCAGGACTCCCAGAGTTCATCAAGATTCTTTTTTCTTTGCATCTTCAATGCCTCCTCCTTCATGCTCAATAGTGTTTATTCTGGTGACTGGGCTGGCCAATCCTTGAGCAGCTTGACCTTCTTTGCTTTCAGGAACTTTGATGATGAGCAAGGTTATTATAGTTAACGAAAACTTACGTGAAAACGAAAACTAAAATGTAAAATAATTGTTGTTAACTGATATAAAAATAAAAACGAGTTTTTAAAAAAACTAGAACTGAAACTGTATTGTGTACATACAAAACTAACTGAAACTAACTAAGATTATTGCAAAAACCTCCTTCGTTTTCGTATTTGTATATTCAGGTGTTTGACCCTTTCGCACCTCTGGCTATTGGCCAGATCGAGCCGGTTTTCTTCCAGTCATTCTCGCTGTTGCTTCCACGACAAAAACAACGAGTGGTCATGGCAGCAGTACGGTGACAGCATTAAATACAGATACTTAAAGCTATTACTTTAACACATTTGTGCCCAATAATGGGTTTTATTTATGTCTCGCGAACGCAAACTAATCTTTTTAACCGGATCTTCTAAGTGAAAACTGAATCATTTGAAACGATTCGTGTCTCCAGTAAGCACTTATCCACAAACTACTTACTTATTAACAAGCCTAATACCCCCCTCTGACTCTAAATAATCCAATATATACTCTCAGTCAGTTATTAGAACAGTAACAATGTACTGACTAAGATCAAATTTGAGCTGTGAACTGATACTACAGCACATGCATGATTTAGTGAACCAAAAACAAACAGTGCATGATAGCCTGCTGTGCTTGAACTAAACTTGAACAACAGCAGCGAGGTTGAACCGGGGGCTTAAATGAGGATCTGGTGAAAAAACGTAAGTTTATTTTATAATAGAAAATCGTAATGAATTTAAATAGGTGAATCATGATTCAGTTGGGTTGCAAAACTTTACTGTAAGACATTCTTCAGATCATGCCATGGTGATGTTTTAACTGAGTTCTAACATCCGCGTTAAATAGCTGGACTTCCCACCACTATCTTACTTCAGAAGCATCCTTGCACACATATTGTACTTAAGGCTGCTGTCTTGTGGGCTGCTGTTGGCAGCAGAGAAATCCACCTTCTCACACTGTTCCAAATAAAGTCAAGTTATTATTTTTTTGCCTTTTCAACTGGGATCCACCACAAGACTTCTGTCAGGTATTGTAAAGCCAGATCATTTGTTTGACGTTCAGCATTGTCAGAAGCCGAGCTCACCTTGTAGACGTAAAGCTCATGACTCTCATCAGACAGTGTTGTGCCGTCTTCCCTCATCAGAGGTGTAAATGCAAACCCAAAAAGCTTCTTTTCTCCTTTATCTTTTGCTGTAAATAAATCAAATACATTGCTTTATACATTTCCTGAAAAAAAATTATTAAAGGTTTCAATCCCTTAGTCATGACGTGTCGAAGTCAGATGTGTGCAAAATGAATATAGTCCTTACTTGAACAGTGTCTGAACTCAAAGCGCAGATGGGAACCCCGGAATCGGTCGATAGGGATGGGAAGTTTGACGACTTCACTCCAGCGAGGACTGTTGTTGTGGTAGAGTACGAAAGAGCGGTACTCACTGATGTTGTGTTCTCCTGAGCCCAGACTAATACACTCCTGACAAAAAATATGAGGAATGGAAACGGTTGGGTTTCATGAGGCATCAAAGTTAAAACACTTATAACGAGATTATACTAAATACATTAGAAACATCCCAAACTAATTTACCCCTTTCAAACTGACTTTAATTGTGTCTTGACTAATTGATTCAACACATGAGCTACAGATCGCAGTGTGTTTTTCCAAGAGATAGTTTACCAAAAATGAGAATTCTGTCATTATTCAGTCCATAAAATAATCTAGTAATTAACAGTTTCCATATTTTATGATTTACATGTTTATTAACGGCTATGAATCGCATTATAGGACCTTGATCTCTGCTCTGTTGGATTTTAATGAACATTTGATTGACAATTTAATAGTTTAAGACAATATTTTTTATAAGAAAATAATATTTATAGAATTAATTCTGTAAAATACACGGTAAAAATGTCAGTGATTTCAACAGTTAAAAAAAAACTGTAAAAATGCTACCAAAATATGTAACCTGGTTAACAGTAAGCTTCTTTAATATATATAAATGGTGAATATAGCCGTAAATGAACTTTCCCAAAATCCACTGCATGATACTTGAATTTTTGTTTATTTTTTTGCTTATTGTATTACTTTATTTTATATGCGTTATGATCACTAGGAAACTAGCGGCTGCAGATCGCTGGTAAACATGCAACTTCACTCGGTCTACAATCCTGTCACTATATGGACTACAAATCCTGTCATGCACCTCACACACATCTGTTCCGGGTTTACGTTGATTACACACACACACACACAGCTGACAGCTGCTTAATGACTAATTTTGAGAACTATTTATACATTACATTGGCACACACACTTTGCTGAGTCTTGTTATAATGTTTGTGAACATTGCGACGCGTTTCCCTAGTTGTGTTTTGACCCTATGCCTTATTCTTTTGCTTTGATTGCTTGCTGCTCTACCGACCATTCGCCTGTTTGTGGCCATGAGTTTGGATTACCTGCATGTTCCCATTTACCTCTGTGGTTGACTGTTACGCGAGTCAGCAAAGTGTTTGTGCCAATGTGGTGTATAATTAGTCCCTGAAATCAGTCGTTGAGCAGCTGCCAGATGTGTGTATGTGTGTAATCAACGGAAACCTGGAAAAGGTGTGTGTGAGGTGCATGACAGAATTTGTAGTCTGAGTGAAGGTGCAGCTGCTAGATCACTGGTGATTATAAAAATATGTTACCATGATGCTGTGTTTTGTAGATGTTAGTACTTCAAAACATTGGTGCATGACAAAAAATATGTATGAAATTCAGTAATTTACAGTAAAACTTATGTTCCTACTGTATTTTTATCGGTTAAATTCCTGCAAGCACAGCTGTGTATTTTTACAGTACATTTTATGTTTTTGCCTTTTTTATAATGTGGAAGAAAAAAGTATCTGCAGTTTAATAGCAGGTTTTTATACTGTAGCTTACAACATCAACCCAGACAATATAGCACTACAAAATAAAAAAAAAACTTTTTCAAACAATTCAGCTTTGCTGGAGGAAAGATCCATCGTTTAGTTATTAAAATTTCACAAAAACATGTATTCAAAAGCATAAATAAGTGAAAAAAAATTCAGAAATCACAAAATATGGCAAACTGTTAACTTATATAAACTTATATATAAACTGATAATTCCTTACAGTGATTACAAACCACTTCCATGTTACTGTAGAATGCGATGTTTTCTCTTAAATATCGTACAATTTCTCCATTTATAAAAGGTTTGGGATGGCATTAAGGTAAATAAATTAAAACATGATACATATTTCAGCGAAACTATTTATATTGAAGCAGTTTGACGTACTTTGAGGATCTCGCCGTCAGCGTACAGCACATACATGGTGACCTCGATGTTCTTCTGAACACTTTTTCCTCCTCTCTCAAAGTCTCCTCTCTCCAGCGTGAGGTAGAGGTCATTGCGAATGTCACCTGAAGAGCAACAAAAATGATGATTGATTGACTTAGATCAACAAATGTAGACATTCTGGACAAACATTTTAAATTTTCATTTATCTGCCTGTCTGTCTGTCTATTGATCTATATGCATTTAAACAACCGTTTTGTCTGGATTCCTGAATCTGATTGGCGGATAGCCAGCCAATATTCTGTCAGTAACAGCACTTGTCCAGCCTCGTCACCCTTCACTCGTGTGTTTCTAATGTGTCTCCTGTTTTTCCTGTGGTTAGGGTTAATTATTGTGATCTCCTGATTGCAACAGAGTAATACTGGGAAATCTCTGTAGACCAGTGGTTCCCAACAAGGGGGCATCAGTGAGCTTTGGGGGAATCAATAATTATTTCTGTTTTATTTATTATCTGAGTCTGAATGATCTTTTATTTTAAAAAGTCTTTTATTTTGAAAAATGACCATATTCTCTTACGTCTCGGTCTATGAACTAACCAACCATCCACGAACCAACCAGCCAACCAACCAATCAAACAACTAACCAACCCACCAAATAACCAACCAACCAACCAACTAAACAAACCAACCAAATCAATTAACCAACCAAAAACCAACCAAAAACCAATCAATCAACAATGAACTAACCAACCAACAAACCAACCAAACAACCAACTAACCAACCCACCAAAACTAACAAAAAAAAACAACCAACCATCCAACTAAACAACCAACCAACCAACTAAACAATCAACAAATCAACCAAACAACCAACGAACCAATTAACCAACCAAAAACTAATCAATCAACAATGAACTAACTAACCAGCCAACCACGAGCCAACCACTAATCAACCAACCAACAAACCAACCAAACAACCAACCAACCAACCAACCTAAACCAACCAACCAAAAAACAACCAAATGTAACATTTATGCTGGAGATAAACATTTCGTTCAATATTCCATGAGAATGGTCTGGTTTCAATTTCCGGGGCAATTTAGATCACTCGGTGACACAAAGTCTGGCCTAAAAAAATTCCTGCTGACAAGCAACGAGTTTGGGACATTCCTAAGAGCAGTCCTAAACTACTTTCTGCCGACTTCAAAGGGACATGACTGATAAGGAAAAAACCCATCTAGCAGCCCTCTCCTTACAGAAGAAAAAGACATTCCTCTCCAATGTTTTAGTATATTTAAACAAAGACATTTAGAACCCAAATCTCTTGTTTAATTACACTTAGTTTGTGTAATGTGTACCATTCCTCATAGTTTATACAAATTCGTACATTTTTAGGCCTTTTAAAGGCATAAATAATATGAGGATGTGAAAAATTATGTTGATGTACTTTTAAACCCCCATGTTTGGTACCGATGGGTTTCTGCTGACATTTTACAACACATGATACCGCATGCTCTGGGCGGACACTCAAATTTGCACACGAGCAGCCTCGAGACAAAGGAAGGTTCGCGCGCAAACTTTCCCCTGAAATCATTGGTCAGAATGCTGTACGGGTTGTCACGTGACCCGCAGGTATAACCAGACTTCCCCCCAAACATCTTCAGTGAAGGTCCGAACAAAGAAGGGCCACGCGGCTTTTCTACGCCGCATGGACTTTTTCCCGTAACGCTTTCTTTATTTTCAGGTAAAGTAAACTCAGTTTAAAGTTTGCGATCGTGTTCGTGCGAACTGCATTACAAACTCCACGCATCAAGGAGGACATCAAAAGGAGTTTTCATCACGACGGAAGAGAGACGCATAAGAGAGACCTCCAGACATGAAAGACCAGGTGATTTTAGTTATGCGATTAAGCTGTGCCCCTTTTATCACAAAAGGTGTTTTTGTTTTTATAATCTTGGTGGTCCTTAATGGTGCATGTGGAACTGAAAGTTTTGTCACTCTTTTATCTAAAATCTATATTTCCGCGCTTTGCTATCTCTCTCTGTTCGTACATGTATTATAGTCCCATATAGACCCGATATCTCCACGTGGTTTACCTTTGTTCCGTGTTTAATGTATGTTTGTGCGTTTGTTTGTTCATTACGTCTGACTAGTCAATGAATTCCATTATAATTAAATGAATTGTATTGTTTGCCTCACGAGAAAATGTCACTGAAATACAGATTCCCCTGCCTAGCTATTATAAGTGTTTAAAGCTTTTGAATGATTAATCTACTTCGCAAGAAGTAGCAAATAAATTCACTTTTTCTAAATGCTTGTGTTTGTTTGGTCAAATTAACAATAAATTGACCCGGAATATTAATGATTAATAATAATTCGTTATTGTTGATAATTAATATTCACAAACTAGGAATCCGCTCGGTCGCGCAAGCATGATCATATACAATCATATGTTTGTTTGACCAAATTGACTGAAGCTTAAGCCGGAATATTAATAATTAAGAATAAACCGTTATTGTTAATTATTAATATTCATAAAATTAGCTAATTTCTGTTACATAAACAAGCAATCGAAGACCTAGAAACCAACCAACCAGCCAACCAATTAACTAACCAAAAGCCAACTAACCCACCAACTAAACAACAAACTAACCAAATCCAAGCAACCAATCAACCAATCAACCAACACATTTCAGATTATCATTTTTACAATGTATGTATGCATATTTGCAAAGCCAAACTTTAATCATATGTTTTTTTTTTGCCATACTGTAAACAAACAATAGCTACTTTAAATGGAGTAAACTTGTAGCCCAAAAAGTTACTTTTCTTAAAAAAGAGAGTAAACCTGTTGTAACTTGGAACTGTTAAGTCAACTGTTAAGTCAGCTTAACTTGATTTGTATGATTATGCACACAGTTTAATGCCTTAATCATCATAAGGCAATGGGTTTGCAAAATTTTTAAGTAAAGTCAACTAATCACTTTAAAACCAACGGGTTTACTCACTTTTAAAACAAAACCTGATAATCGCTTTTTACAGTGCAGGAATAAACTAAATCACTCTTAGATACTGGACACACACACACACACACACACACACACACACACACACACACACACACACACAGTGACGTGTTCAATTACCTACATGGTAAGCTTAAGAGAAAATGTAATCACAGATGGACCAGCACACTTAATTTAACTTCCTTCTAAACCCTTTTACGGACTGTAATATAATCTATTGCTGCAGAAAGGTCAAACCATTTGTCCAGCTTAACTGGCTAGAGGAAACATAATCAAACTTGAGCTGAACCTGACTTTTACACTGTCATTCCACACGTGACCTCGGCGTTCAGACTTTCATTATCAGCCTCATTCAATCCATGACACGGCGGCCCACATTCCCTCTACAGAGCGGCAGGCATCTGAATCACCGTCCTCAAAATAAACACAGACTCTCTGTAGAGAACAGCGATGAGCTCTTACCCGTCCACTCAGGGGGGAAAAGTTTGAGCTGTTAGTGAAGGAAGTTGTGGGTTTAATATGATTTCTGCCAATTACAGCTGATGCAATAAAGGAAAATGTGTGGCTGCTAGAAACGATCCCTCCTGCAACCAATATGCAGACAGTTATGAGTGTGGAGATGTATATTCGGCATGTGCCTTAAAGAGAACTTATGATGCACCAAATACCACATGAATATTTTTACTCTGGGTGGATATGGTGGAGGAGAATGCTTTCCCTAATGCATGGTATGTGAAAAAAGGTGTGGTTTGGCTCACTTCAGAACTTGACTTGGTTTGTATTTAGCTATTGGTCAGGTGTTTAAATATAGTGGGTTTGGTGTCTTGTCGCAAATCCAATAATTCTGGAAGTGATTTTCTCAGACTAATTAGTGACCAGCTGTGCTATACATCACGGTAACTGGTAACTATATGGCTTGCTTGGAACCTCAGTCTTGGTAAAAAAGTAGGCACTGTACTAGTTAGGGAATGCAGTGGAAATGCCCCCAAAGTGAGCCAAACTGAACCGTACTAATCTAAACATTTTAATCTAAATGCTCTAATCACACTGGTGTGACTGTACATGTCAAAAGTGTTAAATTACCCAAAAATTTAAAAATAGAGATGTGCATTTTAATAAACTTTTTGTGATATAAAAAACCCATTTTCTAACATACTTTTTAAATTATCATTTGGTAAGCTACATTTTTGGGGGTACCACCATTGATAGATTGTGATTTTCATTTCATTTAAACTTGGATCTCACTCACTTACTTTCCTTTGGCTGATTGCGTGCTTTATCTGGGGTCGCCACAGTAGAATGAATGATAAATTACTCCAAATTTCTCCATTATGTCCTTCCAACCACAACCCAACACTGAGAGAACAAGCCTCAGTGCTGGGAAACTCACACACACACCTATTCACTCACTATGGCCAATTTGGTTAATCAAATTCACCTTTACCGCATGTTTTTGGACTGTGGGGGAAACCTGAGCACCCAGAGAAAACCAACGCAGAGACATGGAGAACATGCAAACTCCACACAGAGAATACCTCCTGACCCAGCCAGGACTCGAACCAGTGACCTTCTTGTTTTGAGGCAGCTGTGTTAAATACATAGCCACTGTCACACTAAACTTATAATAATTATCAGAAAAAATGTGTAGATATTTATTGACTTTAACGATCAGTATTCTATCGACAACAAAATAGTCTATCCATTCCTAATATTCAACATCACGCAACACAATACGCTAGCAAATCTAACAACAAGCAAATCTAGGGTGCTTTCACACCTGCCTCATTTAGTTGGGTTAGAACGTAACACAGTTCGTTTGTCTTTTTGCTGTGGTTCGTTTGGGTGTGAAAGCGTCTGTTGTACTTGGCTGCACACCAATAGTGAACCAACAAAACATATCGAGACTAAGGAAGGGGTGGGCTCAGTACGCTTTCAAATGAACTCTCGAGCTGTTTGTTTGTGGTGAGAACAAGAAGCGACCTCTAACTGACCCAACTGTAAAACAAAATACTTCAATATTTTTAGCTAAACCAGCTGTTGTAGTCAGCGGCATCATGCAGTCTGGTGTTTAGAAAAGTTGTGAGGATGTTTATACTTGTC